GGGTTATTGGTTTGTCTGTATTTACCAGTCATGTCTGACTGTACATCCTAAATATCTGTCCGTTAATTTAAGTATAACTGGTCAAAAGGTACGTACTTGGCAGTAAGGAGTTCTTCAAGATGTGGTTGTAGAACAGAACTTTCACATAAAACTCTTAATATTTCAACAGCGTTCTTCCTTCGTTCCTTTTCATCCAACTTAACTGGCGGCAAACACAAGTTAGATAACTCTGGTTGTAGATTTAAACAACTCAACGCAGGACTGGATGATGGTCTCAGTAGACTTGGTCGTTCAGTATCTCCTATAAAGTATAAAATGGATAGTGGTTTTACAATTACATAGTCTTCGATATCACCATCTAGAAGCAGATGTTAACAGTGCTTCCGAGAGAGGGCCTCATAATACCCAGTATATTGATATTTTCAGCTTCAAGTCAGTAAAATCTTACCTGGTCTGATGGAATCGTAAGAAGGAGGGTCAGGTGACCAAGAGGCTGCTGGTATCAAACCACTATCGTCTCCGGCCTGTTCTCTAGCTTCACGGTTAGCGGCAGACGCTCGTCTTATCAACTCTCTTACACTCATACTGTAATATATAACAGGTCATACACCATATATTCTCATTCTCATGATATCTCTCAGTTTGTAAACAATCTAATCATTCAATCAGAATTGACAGATACAATGAAAGATATATAATATCTTCTGATAGAGACAGCTATAAAATAACTAATAAAAATTGTAAAAGATTTAAAACGTACCTGCGACTGCCTGAATCACGTCCACAAGACAAAGCATCCATGTTGATAGCCTCAAGTGTTGAGGAGAAGGTAGATGTTGAAGACGTATCTGTATAGATAAGATATTTATTATCAATGCGCTGAGTGGGCAATGCAGGAAATTTTTGCCACGTATTAATAGTACAAACATACCCATTTAATTTCCAATTAAAAGCTTATAGGACAGCAACTTTTAACCCAAAGCAACGAAGTATTCACTGAAGGAAGTTTTGCTACAACAATATGATGTCTACCCTTTTTTGTTTGAATAACAATATAGATCTTCAAGATTAT